TGGTTATGCTCCAAAATATAAATTAACCGCCTATTAATGAGGCGTTCAAAGGTTTTGCCAAGGCAACTCGTTAACGCGATTGGACGATAACTACGGGGGTCCGAAGGGTCCTTCCCAGCTTTCAGCAAAGGAATTACATGCGGCTGTTTCCACATTTGAGGAAAGTAGCCTGCTTCCCACAGATAGTTAAAAAAATCTAGTAGTGTGTTCAGCGATTCTCGAGACAGTTGACGGAGCATTTCATAGTGGATCCCAGAGCCACCTCTAGTTCTTGCATTGTAAAAGGAGTATTGTATGGCTCAGAGCTACAACCGGACATAGGTATACGGTGACATTCTGCATTTGCTTTAAAACGTTTAAATTCCGTCCGATAATTTCGGGAGCTGGAAACATTCTCGAAGTGCTGTCCAAGCACATTAGCAACATCTTTCAGCGAGTTAGCAGGGGAGCTAAATAGAGGAACAACAAAGCAACGGTAATCCCCTTTGATTTTTTTGTACCTATCCCAAACTTCCTTCTCTGAGACAAAACTATTTAGGGAGGAAATATACTGGGTCCAGGACTTCCACTTAGCTTTTCTCATAGTCCATCGGGCCTTTGCTTTTAGTCTTTTAAATTCTATCTTATCTGAAGGAGTAGGGTACCTCCGAAAAGTGTCCCATGCCCTATGCTGCTTTTTCCTTGCGGTGGCACAGTCTTCATTCCACCAAGGCCTACACCTCTTGGGTAAATTTTCGGAGGTGCGAGGAATGGCGTCTTGGGCGGCACTGATGATTTGCTCCGTAACATACACTGTCGCTTCTTCAGGTGACAAATTTGCTAGAACTGACGGGTCAAGCACTGCATCAAGTTTAAAGAGTGCCCAGTCGGCTTTGTCCAGTTTCCACCTAGGGGTTCGTTTTAAAATAGACGGCAGAGGAACGAGACTTTCAATTATAACCGGGAAATGATCACTCCCAAAAGGGTTGTTTAAAACCTTCCAAGAAAAGCAGGGAAGTAATGAAGGTGATGAAATGGAGAGGTCGATGGATGTGAAGCAATTATGAGTGGAACTATAAAACGTTGGTTCTTTCTTATTTAAAAGACATACGTCTGAGGACAATAAGAATCTTTCTACAACAGCGCCACGAGAGTCAAGGCGCTTACTGCCCCACATGGGACTGTGAGCATTAAAATCACCACAAATTAAAAAAGGCGTTGGGAGTTGCTGAACCAATCCTTGAAGTTCATGAAGATGCAGTTGACGATGAGGTGGCAAATACAAGGACACAACCGTAATGAGACGATCAGCAAGAACACGTACCGCAACAGCTTCCAGTGATGTACGCAAAGGAACTTCCACACATGCTATGCCACTCCGTACAACAATGGCAACACCACCTGAAGAGTGGTCTGAATCCCGATCCTTTCTAAAAATGCGGTGACGATTAAAAACATTTGTATGGGTGTTGTTAAGATATGTCTCCTGCAAGCACACAGCAATGGGCTGTAGCTCATCCAGAAAGAAATGAATGTCATCAATATTTTGCAGAAGACTTCTACAGTTCCACTGTATAAAACTATATGAGTTCATGTTAAAAACGGTTTAAAGTAACAACACAAGAAAAAAGGAAACCTGCCCTAAGTGCCCTGGGGCGGTTCGGGTGGGGTTACTCGCGGATTGAGCTTTCTCTGGGATAACTTTTTAATAAGCCTTGCGTCATCAGGTGGGACCGAACAAGGGGGAGGAGGTTCACCAAGTTCCATTTGCTCCTCCTCAGGCGGAACGGCTGAGGGAGCAGCTGGTACGGGCACCTACCTCCTTACGTGTCGAGGCCTCTCCTAAAGCCTTAAAACGAAACATACCCTCCTTCTTCTTGGGAGGGGTCCGAGTGACCAAGGCAGGCACATCGTTCGATGGCCCGTCCTTTAGAATGGAAGAGGCACTAGTGCCTTCTCCCTGAGGCTGGTGTTGCCGCCTCTCCTCTTGTCTCCCATCCATTGGCACAGAGGCATCTCTTGCCTCTGCACCATCTGGAGGCCCCTGTGGTTTCTTCGGTTCCAACGACAAACGGAGTCGTGGAGCGAATCTTTGTGAGGCAGGGGGAGGTGGTGGAATCACCAGGTCATTAGGACAGACCTGGATTCCTACCGAAGATTTTGATGGCACACCCCCTGCACGTGCCACCAAAGGGTAAGAACCCTTCTGCAGGAAGGAGAATCGCTTCCTGGCTTCGGGGAATGAGATGTTCTCTTTCACTTTGAGTGTTATAATTTCTTTTTCTTGTTTCCATTTTTTGCACGATCGGAAATAAGCAGGGTGAGGTTCACCACAGTTGATACAGGAAGGTGCATTAGAGCAATTCTCTGCAGGGTGATCATTTTCGCCACACTTGGCACATGTTGTCTTCCCACGGCAGCTCTGGGCGCTATGGCCATATCTCTGGCAATGAAAGCTACGCTGAGGGTTTGGCACATATGGCCGTACTCTACAGTTCAGATATCCGGCTTTCACTGATTCCGGAAGCACCCTCAGCTCAAAAGTCAGAATGACATGCTTTGTCTTCACCTCTTGGCCGTCCCGTCGAAAAGAAATTCGTTTGGCATCAATGACTCCTTGGTCACGAAGGCCATCGACAATTTCATCTTCGGGGGGATTCTAGCAGGTCATCTTCTGATATTACGCCTTTTATAGTGTTCAAAGTGCGGTGGGGTGATACAGTAACCCTGTAGTCAGACACCACGTTGAGTGCCAGCAGGTCTTAGCTTTGTTGAGCGGTTACAACTTCAACGAGGAGATCTCCAGATGGCATTTTTTTTGCTTTAAAATTTTTTCCGATTACAGATTCAAGAGTCTTAGAAACCAGGAACGGGGATAACTTGGATAAAGGTTTTTCCGTTTCGGAATGCATGACGAGAAATCGGGGAAACTTCTCCACGGGTGCAAATGCTTCTCTGACGTGTACTTCGGTCCGGACCCTTTTCAGGGCCCGATCAGGTTTTTGGTTTAGTTTAGAACCCATAAGAAATGGGAAGGCGTTCGGCATCTGTAGCGCACCACCCACCACGGAGCCCAACATGGGGATAGGTAATGCGCCATAGTAATAAGGGTTTTGCTGACGACATTACGCTATCAGTGCTACCAAGACACTATAACCTAGTGTGGGTCCAGACAAGAGGTCTATTGCCACCCAAGGTTAGCCCTTGCCGCCAAAGAGGGAAGAAAAAGGAGCAAGAGAAATGAGAAGGAAAAGAAGGAAACAGGACAGGTAAAAGTGAAAGATCGGAGGGGATAGTAGAAGAAAAGGCGACTAGACTGAATCATCCTGGCCGGGCCTCACCAGGACTCCCGTCTACGAGAAGCAGGGGCCGAAGTGGTGTATTGCCTCACCTGGGGGGCCCCGAAGGGTCCAAACCTACCCCGGGCTCGGCTCAACCACCAGGATGCCCTTTTCCTCGGACACGGGAGAGCCACGTACAGCCAGACGTGGGCGGGCGAACCCGCATGGCTCGGGGTCCGTGGAGACGCCACTCTCCAAACACCTGCTTTCACAGGTGCCCCCTGCGGGGACAGTGGTGGGGGGGGGGGGGGAAGGGCGAGTTTGCGCCCCTCCCCCATATCTTTTCCATTAAATTTCTGACCTGTCGGGGGGGCAGTCTCCCCCCCCCCTCGCCCCCCTATTTCTTTTCGACGCCACTGTACAAGCAGAATGTGATTACAACCATTGTGTCTGTAGTCGACTGTATACTGGTGGTTGAGGCGACGGCCATTTGCAGCGAGAGCTATGGTAAAATGCGCCTGTTTCAGCTGTAGCACTTGCTATGTATCGCGGCGATAGTTTCATTGAGTCGCCCCGCAACAGAGTAACCGTCAAAGAAAAGAAAGTTCGAGTGGCAGAGGAGGGCTGCGGCTGCACAGTTGGCAGGACTCTTCGTGGCGGTGCATTGACGGCACTTTTTAACATTTATGTCCACACGCTCTTTGCATCAGCCTTGCCTGTTCGTGATAACGATGCCCTTTGCCTTTATCTTCATGATGTAGTTTCCATGTTTTGAGCGCACCTTCGAGGCCTGCTCGCCGAGTACGGGAAGCATGCCTCGCCGTGAGCTCGGCCAGGCAATGATCAGTCGGCAGTGGCCCCTAAATGCATGCTCGCTGAAACGCTACCACCGAGACATCAGCCTTTGCGGTCCATGACATATGGATCCTTCCGTTGTTTACCAGTACTTCACTAACTCATAACTTTACTATGAGTGGCGTCTGGAGCCGCTGGTCAAATAATTGCGGGATTCCAGTTACGCCTTGAACTGCATATTTAAATTTGTTCTTCCGACACAATAGCCTTTCGCATCAAAACTTTGTCGGTGGCATATCGGAACTTTCTGCTCGTAGCACACTTTACCAACGCCGAAATATCCCGTACGTGCTGGTTGAATGTCGTCATCGTAAGTTTGGCACAGTTTTTCAAGTTTACATGCCAAAAACCATGTAGTTTTGTAGAAAATATGGTGCACATCAGGGCATGTCCGGGCAATTTGTGGCATCCTATGCCTTGGTAAGTGCTTCCATGTGGTGGGAAGTCAATCACCAGCATGGTGCGGGGCCCCCGTTCGTTTGACGTCTGATAAGCAAGTTAGTTGCTTCGTTTTATGTGAACCACAGGCAGCCCAAGGAGTTGTGGCTACTTTTCGATACAGTGCAGTCAAACGCACTGAAACGAAACTGTGTGTATGGGCCTTTACGCCGCTGCGCTTCCATTTTGGACCTGCAGTTTGTACTTCATTTCGTTGTCGTTCCTACTCGGCTTTGACGTCAGTGGATCATAAATGAAGGTGGCTCAAACATAAAAAGGGAGATAAATAGTTAGGTGTGTTGGCTGAATGTGTCTTAAGCAACTTCGACAAAAGGCAGCAACAAGGGAGAGGATTGTAAGGATTGCAAAGGAAAAAAAAGCTTTGATGCTGACTGCATGCCACATCGGCGGTGACATCGCTCAGGCCTGTACAAATGCAATGGTGTGCAAGGCAAACATTTTTTTTGCGGGTGCGGTCCTTACACGTGTTAATTACAGTAATGACTTTCACTTTTACTTAGCTGAGTGTGTAAAAGTTGTTGCATGTTTTTTATGATGCCATCATTTCTTTAGTTTTGCATGTTGCTAAATGAAATACATAATGCAGTGGAAATTTTTTGCATACTTGGAACCAAAAAGACATTGAAGAGAACTAACCAAAGAAAACTGTTTATTGTATTTACAAAGTAAAGCTAAAACGGCAATGCCTCTTTGCCAAACTGAAGGCTCCTCCTCCCCTTTAAGGGCCTTGTCGTAGGGCCTTCCCAAGTTACGTGAACATTTTTTCTCCCTGTTGAATATAGAAGTTTGCTGCCTTTTTCATCATTTTGGCAGCCTCCCAGGCTGCCCTTGCTGCCCTTGCCTGCTCTTCCGATGCCCTTGCCTGCTCTTCCGTCGCCTTCAGTTTGGCAAGGAGGCACTGCCGTTCTAACTTTATGTTCTCGTGTTGTTGCTCCAAGATGTCTCTATAAAACTGTTTGTCTGCAGCCCGTGTGCTGGCTGCCGAGCCTGCGGGTGGTGCGCTGGGCCTCCAGACCGGTCGTGGACGAGGTGGTCCCCGCCGGCCCAGTGGTGCCGGTTGCCCTTCAGCAGCAGCTGCTGCCTCAGGCGGTCCCCCTGCCACAGGAGGAGGCCCCTCCCGACGTAGCAGCGCAGCTGCTGCACCAGGCTCCACGGGTGCCTCATCCTCGTCCAGCAGCCAGTCCGGAGGCTCGTAGTCCTGGGTGTCTTCGGATTCCGGCACCTCGAGGAATGCGACCCCGGGGTCCACTTCAACTTCGTAGCTCAGGACTCGGTCCTCTCCTACCACCTCGTTAGTGGTTGGCTGCACGCTGACTGGTGCTGTGCTGGCCCTAAGGAAAATACACAAGAATGTCAGTCTTGTCACCCTTGTACATAATTTGAGAACACTCTTATTTGTATTTCATTCATGCTTTTTGTGCGCATGTGGATCAAGCTCGACTCCTCAGCTCTCGGCCATTGGTGCTATTGGTTGTGAAAGTATGTGGGCTTTAGTAAAGCCAGTCTACAGTGTGCAGGTCAAGCCCGATCTTGGCTGTTGCGGCTATTAGTTGTGAAAGCAGCTGGCTTCATGCAGATCCAGTGTGCAGTGTTGATGCCGGCCACATATTTCTGGTTGCTTGTCCCTACAAATCTGTTTTATGTCAAAAAGACTACCATATTGAGCAGCAGATGTGCTCAGGGTGATTCCAAATTTAGTGGTAGCGTCTACTGGTCGGTGCTTAATAAATTGTACTCACTGTACACCATATTTGAACTGACTGCTCAGGATTACTTCTGATTTCTTTTATTTATCAATGCTGTTCACCCTTTCAGGGTGGTTTTATTCCAGAAAAGACATTCCTCATGGTATGCAATGTGCATGTTGGAAGTGTTGCAAAAGCTTGACGTCAGCATATGCTCAGCAGCAGCGAACTCAGCTGTGATGGTGAATGCTACCTACGAAATGAGCGAGATTTCAGAGCACTAATCTCGCACAAATATGTTTATGTAACAGACTGTCTCAGCTTTGTGCCTTCGTTCATTTGACTTGCCATCTCAATACAACGGACCTGAAGCAAATGAGGTCCAATCTTTGGGTTTGTGACCTTTGGGTCTACGTAACTGTAGAGTTTTCAACATAAAACAATATATTTGTTTTGCTGTTTGTCATAGTTCGGCTTGACTCCATAAAAGTCTAGCCTGTATACGGTAGTCTTGCGATAATTCAAACTCGGATATTATACTTCTGGTTAATTCAAACAAATTTCCGAAGTTTGGTTGTCTCGCTATGTTCTTAGTGTATCCATATGCCACTTAAACCGAATGCCGTTTTCCTGTAATTCATATTTTTTGTACCTGTAGCCCTTTTGTTGAGTGTGCTTCTTTCCGAGCACCGGTACACTGCAGAGGGAACACCTATGGAGCTGTTGCTTCTCCGCAATGCACCGGCGCTTGGTGATAAGCTCACTCAATGGGGCTCGTGTGGAAATTTCTACAGCAACTTGCGCAGACGCTGTGATCTGGTAGCATGGCCTACATTGAGCACTGGCACATTGCGGAGAAGCAACAGATCCATGGGTGTTCACTCTGCAGTGCACCGATGCTCGGAAAGAAGTGTACTAAACAAAAGGGCTGCAAGAACAAAAAATATGAATTACAGGACAACGGCATTGAATTTAAGTGGCATAGCATGGGCAAGTCACAACGTCCTCACAAGTTGCTATGAAAACTGTGGCGCGGTGCCTGCTTTTATTGTTCACGTGTCCCCCGTTTAATAGTTCACACTAGACAACTTCTTGACCCAATGAACAAACTGCATTTTGTTTTGTTTTGAGTTGTCATGTGCTCTTTGAACAGCCCACAACAATGAACATTTTTGAGGGATAAATAAACTTTTGTCTTACATTTCACGAATGTTTCATGTGTAGCATACCTGGTTATGATCAGTAGGCCTATGTAAAGGAAAGCATGAAATATCTTCTGTGTATGTGAAGCCACTCATAAGGCGAATCATATTTTTATCTTGCATCATTATTTAGATAAATTTCTGATAAATCAAACAAAATTCATGGCTTCCTGGAGTTTGAAATCATGAGAGTATAATGTATTTTGTAATGGTAGTGTAGTAGAAACACAATCCCCTTTGTCTTGTTCGCATTGCATGATACCTTTTTAAGATATACCTTTTACCATTTCAGGAGTGTACCAGCCTAAGTCTGCTATCATTTTTCTTTCCCAAACTTTCAAGACTCGGCCAACGGCGCTTGCGATGCTCAGAAGACTGCGTCGTCCTCCCCATGTACATGTCGGCTCATAATCACCATCATTTTAATCTTGCATTTCACAAGATTAAGTCGTGATCTTACATCATCACATAATCACCATCACAAGATGTGGCATTGCGGGCGTACCTTGCACGGGCTGCTGCCTTTCTGCAGTGCCGTGGCTCTCCTAATCCAATAATTACTATTATTATTGTTTATATTATTTTTATTATCATCATTGATGAGCGCAGTGGTCTCATTGACATGCCTAGCTCGACTTTAACTTCAAGTAACATGGCTCAAAGTTTTAGAGTCCTTGGATGTGCACGGTTCTTTCTTGCTCTGGAGAGAACACACCAGAACATTTCTTTGAGTGGCCCAGTATTTAGTACTTGCGAACTTTAAAATATTATTGTGAAAACAATATTAGCTTTGCTAGTAGAACCCCCAATCGTGTGAATCTCGAAAGGCTAGGCTTCGTACAAATAGCAGTAACATGACAGCTCACTCGTCGGTGTCTATGCCTCCTTCGATACCCAGAAGGTTGGGGCTTGTGGAACCGATGACCGCCAGCACAGCCTCAGCCAGCGGTGTCAGCGTGTGGTCGTTGCACCCTGCGCCTGTGGAAGACAAGGTTCTCTTTATATTTTGTTTGAGCATTAAATTTCGTCTGATTGCAGCAAGCACATTCATTGTTTTGATTTGATTGTATTAATAGCTTGATATCTTAATTGCTTCTATAATTTAGCCAAGAAAATGAGAAAGTGGAAAAAAAACTTTTTTTAGCACACAGAATGTGTGCTTCATTTTTATGTGTAGTAAAAACATATGTACAGTAAAACCTCGTTATAAAGAAGTTGAAGGAGCGGTCGTAATTACTTTGTTATAACCATTAGTTTGTTATAGCCAATGTCCATTTCTTCCAACTATTCAAGCAAGGGGAATTATGATTGCTTTGTTATATCCATTTGTTTGTTATATCCCATTTTGTTATAACGAGGTTTTACTGTATAGTAAACTCACCGGTCGTGGAGTGTGCTTTCTTCGAGAGGGTCAGTTCAGCGCGGCTGCCTGCGAGATTTGAGGTTTTACCACCGCTTTTAGAGTTGCGGCACAGTGCGCAGCGTCGATAGATGCCGCGAATTCATCACGGATGCGATCTCCTGCCATGCTTTTCTTTTAGCAGCTTTTGTAATACTGTTGTTAAATTTGTTCTTAATTATTCGTTTGTGTTTCTCGATTTCGTAAACCAATTGAAACTTATCATCTTCAGACCAATTTGATTTCTTTACCTTGGGAGGCATCCGTGATGGACCGGCGACATCCATGTCTGCGTGCAGCGAACTCAGACGGTCGTCTGCTAACTTAATGATCGAAACATAATTATCAACTTTTATTGCAAATGCTACCAAGAAAATACGTCCAGCGCATTTTTTTTTTCTTAAAAAATTGGCCGTTTAAGGGCACGCAGGCATTTCTGTAGACAACTTTATTCGGCGTACGCACTGGACGTCGACGACGGTGGTGACAGACGATCGCGATACGAAGCAATATGACAGCGTTGGTGCGCACTAAACTCTACCCAAAACCGCGCATCGCCGACTTTTTTTTTTCTTCTATTTTGCACAGAACCACGGTATGTACGAGACATGTGCCGCAGTTTTGTGACTGTCGTCGTTTCTCTTTGCCCAAACGGATCGCAGCGTAGCAGAAGCAGACAAACTCTCGCTTGCCGCCTCGCGTCGCCGGCGCTTTCTTATTGGACAGGAGGTCACAACTCGTCACTTCCACGTTCGGAATCTTCGGCCGTGTTCCAAAATTTACTCGGTCTCACTCTAGGGTAAAGGTTTTGTACCTTTGCGATCGAAAACCTACCCGCGTCCGGCATTACTCGATTTTTGTTGTCACGTGACATGATCTGCCAGGGTAACTCGGATCCATTCGAGTAGATTTGGAACGCACCCTGTTTCCTCCGGTATTTCTTCAGGTTTCCCTAGATTCCCTCTCTAGGTACTGCTCACTCCGTTCTTGGCGGTCTGGGTGCCAGACTCAAGTCCGGACTTGAGTCAAGACCGTGCCGGAGACCGTGCTGGATCCGTCTTGGTCTCAGTCACGGTCTCAGCCGAGACCGCCAGGCGCCTGAGTCAAGACTTGAGCCAAGACTTGAGTCAAGACTTTCTAGCAAGCGGCCCCAGATTGCGCGCACTTCAATATTCATTAAAAAAAACGATTGGGCGGAAAAATGGCTGAGATATCACCACTCAAGCAAAAGCGCGCATGTGTATGAAGGCACTCTAATCACGACCAGAGCCGTATATTAGGAGAGTTTGGACAATAGGCAGAGCAAAGGCCGAAAACTCCCCCCGTGGTTAGAGCGTAAACTAAAGGTACGACACAGCGTCGACCAATCAGGAGACCGCGACGTCACAATATTGCAAACGACATTTAAAGCGTGAAATAGACGCGTTCAATCTCGGCCTCTATAAAGACAAAGGCACAGGCGTGTGAGCCTAGCTCAGCAAAATGCTTTAGTTTGTACGAGAACTCGCGCATAGGAGGCACTTTCCAAAGCCGCATGCTGGTGCCCATGCCTTTGTCTGCATTGCTGATGTTTGTGCAGATGAAGTATCGGTGACACTTTGCTCTGGGCCAGCTTGCTAGAACAGCGTCTCAGCTGAGACTGGCTGAAAGAAAACAGTGCAAAGGGTGGGGCGCGCGAGCGTCTTGAGATGCGGAGTCCCGCTCGGCTCGTGCGCTGGCTTTGGCAGTGCTTTCTTTCCCTGTCTCAGCTGAGACGCTGTTTCTAGCAAGTCGGCCCTGGTTTGGGGCGCACGTTCGTTTATTCTACAGTTCAATATTGGCGTGACGAAAACCTCACATGCCCAAAGTTTTCAGCCACCAAAAGCTAAACTTTTCCACTCTAGCGACGCTAAAACGGCTAAAATTAGTCGTGTAACAAATTTAGAGCACACGACCACCGCTAGGGGCTGTTTCGCAGCCTGTGGTTGGCCCCGAGGTGCTCGCCTATTCAAACAAATGTATGGCCAAACTCTCTCAATAAACGGCTCTGATCACGACGGCTCGCGACCACCGTGGCTTATTAAAATGAACATAATCTTTTTGAAATGTACCGTCGGTTAAAAAACAAATGCGGACAATAAAAGCAACACTTAAAGTAAAAAATGCGTATGCATAACAGCGGTGCTTTTGCTGCCAACGGATTTCATCTGCATGTTGTCTGCTTTCTTTCGCTGGTCGGCTGCACTTTCGGACGCTGCTCCCGACGCCATCTATCAATACAAACGCCAAACACACCCTGCTACTGAATCCGTCGTCTGCGTCGCTGCCCACCGTAGACCCTGGCAAGTTTCTCGGCCTTATTTTTTACAAAAAGAGAACTACGCTTTGTAATTTTACGAGAAAAAAACGACCCGTGAAATACACCTTTGACAAAAAGTTTCAATTGCTACGTGCAGGCATAGATTTTTACGGTCCATTTTAGATCGAGCCTGGTGACTTGGACCACCATATACTTCCAGAATCGACACCCTAATCAGCTGACTGACCTTGAGAAGTATGTGCGAAAGCAAAAGACGCCCGCAGCTGCTGTGACATCAGCGCTAAAGCAACTTTGCCAGTGGGCGAGTACCTCAACGGAAGCTCGGCTGTCTGATTGTGAACTTTGTTGTAGACGCACTGGAACCATTCTGTCGTCGAGGCACCCAGTTTCGTCAAACAAGTTCATACTCTGGCTCCTGACAGCACCGTGCTAACACAAAAAATGATGATGACAAGGATTGATAAGAGCTACGTCCAGATGAAGACGCGTCTGCGGAAAGCTTTCGATGAGGTTCCTTACGTGGCTGTGACTCCTGGATGTCTTTTCGACGGTAAGATTTTCAGTGGCAAGCTTGCGCCTTCAGCACAACTACCTGCTTAACGAAAGTTTTTTTTAAGTGTGTTTCAAAGCTTGTATATACTGGGTTGCACTTGCTACTCTCGCTAGCGAAAAAATTAGTTAATTCATAATACTTAAAAATCTAATAAATGACAAGCTTGCATTGTGAAATCCAGAAGCCTTTCCATTTGCGTGTTCCTTCGGTCTCGACGTTTTGCTATCTTGTGGCAGACTGACATTGCAATGCGGATTTTCTATTGAATGAGATTATACAAAATGGATGTTTCTAATCAACAAAGATTATTTCAAAATAGTGGGTGGCTGTTATGTGGATACCGTTTTCACTGCATGCTTATCGGTCTCGGCAAACATTAGACGAGAGAAGAATGGTCACGATTCTACCAGATTTGAAGCATTATGGGAGGCTAAACCAATTGATTTCATTTGTGAAAGGGCAATAGGCTCTCATATGTTCAACGACCTCTTTTCGCGTATTTGTCACTTCGTTTTGAAAATGAGTGCTGTGCCGCAAGCGGTGCTTGGAAGAGTAACATACTCATGACGGGCACCTCGTCATGACTCGGCAGAGTATCCTCCACGCTCCCACCAGACACCCCAAAGATCGCGTTGACGGTTCCATCATTAGGATGTCATTTTTCTGCGCATTATAGCAGTGGGAGTTTCCGGCGCTTCTTCTCTGCCCAGTCTAAAAATTAAGCAAAAAAAAAACCCGCAAGGCATCATTGAGTATTTGAGCGCCTCGAAGTTTGTTGCCTTACGCAAATTGTCACTTAGTAGTTAATGGAGAAATTTTAGTTAGCCAACTGTCGCGACGGTTATACCTTCGGCTAATCTGTGCCAATCTGATAAAGTGTAGTATGGTAAGCGATGTAGGATGAAATGTACCTACCGTATTTACACGCAGAATAAACACACTTTTTTTCCGAAAAATCTATGCAAAGTTGGGGGGTGGGGGGTGCGTTCATTACGCAAAGTAAAATTTTTGTGCCCGTATTTACTCGCATAATGAACGGACCTTCTATCCCAAAAAAATCTACATAACTTTGGGGGGATCCGGGGCAAAATCGCAAGAAATTATTTTGGAACGCTGACATGGGAAATACATTAACCAAAACGTTGCATCTTAAGACTCACCTTCATGATAAAAAGACAGGTACACTCTCAGCCACAATTCACGCTTTCAATTTATTGTCTCTTTTCACTTTCACTTCACTATGAGTCGGAAAGCCCTGTGATCTGACTACCGTAATATCCCGAGTCGTCGCCCATCCCTGAGCCATCGCCCACCCCATTTTTTGGGCCAATACCGATTTCCGAAAAAACACCGAGTCATCGCCCACCCCTTCAAATACCCCAGCGCGGACTCTGCGATCCGCGAACACTCATCCTACCCGAATGACGCGGCCGCGGACCTTACAGTTCGAGGACGTCCGTGACAAAGTAAAACAAAGGAGGGAAAGACACTTCTTTTTGTTTACCTCCGTGAGCGACCCCAAAGTGGTCGTGTATCCGTGCGAAAAGAAAACGATGGAGATAACAAAATAAGAGTTTGTTAATGTAACCGCGGAGTGTTAGATCAAAGTCTGTCTCCGCCGAAGTAAGGTCACCGCGAACCCACTCCTTCTTCCCGCCCGTCGCGACCGCGGTTGTGCAATATTTTAGGCAAAGCCAACGCGTAAATAAAGCTTTGCTGGAACGCCATACACAGACGTTTGCAGAGCGTCCCAACCGTGCATTGATAGCCCTCCGTGCACGGACGCACATATGTACGCACCAAACAAGAAAGTTGCGCAAGAGCTTGCAATTGACAAGGCGCCCGACTTGGCTCGACGC